CTTATCTTGGAAGTCTGGATTGCTGTCCAGGTCTTGTCAGTGTGTTAATTTACTGTGAATAAATTGTCTAGCAGTAATCTTGTCTTGGAGTGCCTCGGCATACAGAGTTGGGGTCAGAACAGTTAACCATCACTGGAGTAATAGGACGCAGTTAGGGGTGTTTTTTGCAGTAGTGTGGAAGTGGCTTGCCATGGCCTTTTTCCAGAATGCTCTTCTACATCCCAATAGCTCTTTGCTGAAGGATTTCCTGGTGATCTCCCATCCAAATTTTAACCAGGCACAATTGTTCCTGAGCTACCACCTGTTCAGCTGAAAGGAGACTTATATGACACAGCATTTCTGTCCCCAACAAAACAAGACAAACACAGCAGGCATTTGTGCTGATGTTTCACTGCGCATTGTTTCTAACGTTCAGTGGAATGAAGAATGTTTTTTTGAAGATGAACTGTGTCTCTATGGCGTACGGCAACCCGTTATGAGCCAGTAGTGTCCTGCAGCTACCAGAAAGGCTAATGCAGTCATAGGTTGCTTCAACAGAGAGATAGTTTCAAGATCATGCAAAGTGATAGCACCACTTTATACCACACTAGTGAGACCACATTTTGAAATACTGCATACGGTTCTGGTCATCACGATATTAAAAAAAAAAAATTGGAAGGTTTGCATCTCATACCTGGATGCCAGTTGACATCTGAATGGGAATTGATCGATTCCTGTGTCACCTGGGAACCCTTTGGGGATTCTTCTAGACATCGTCTAAGGTTTCCCTCCTGTTGGTTGTTTTTAAATGCCCTGTATTTTGTAGTTTTTCTTTTTTTGTGTCTTTCCCTTCCCCTCCTTGGGTTTGGGCACCGCCCTGAGTCCCGCAGGGAATAGGGCGGCATATAAATAAAATGAAAGTCAAACTCCTGAGCTGCAAATTAATAACTGAAGCTGTTGAATATTCTGCTCAGACTCAGCCTGCCCAAAATGTCCCCGATAGGGGCGGTGGCCATGTTGGCTGGAAAAATCTTCAGCCCAGTGAGCTTCTGCTGCCATCTTGAGTCTCACCTTCATATCTGGCCCTTCTTCTCAGTTTGCAGATGGCGTTTACTTGGTGCTACTGATGGGCCTCCTTGAAGATTATTTTGTTCCTCTCCACCACTTCTTCTTAACACCTGAAAGTTTGGATCAGAAGGTGAGCAGTAGTCACGTCGAGCATTTTATTTGTTTATGAAAATGTACATGGCTGCTCAGCTCAGCTCCCAGTGACTTCGGGCAGCTTACAAAAAGCCAATATTTTAAAAAAGCAATAATCTTCTATCCTCCTGATGACGCCTGTCAATGAAGCCATTTGAGGGGCTCACATTAGGGGAGAAATGCTCTGAAGCCTGTTACCAGTTCGCTTCGCGTGCATGCACACCGCGGGCGCTAAGAAGCCCTTTCTTAGTCTGCAAAGGTAAGTAGAACAGCGAGGGGGTAGGGGGAAACAGCTGTGCCGTGCGATTTAGATTCGCTAGAAAGCAGAATTTCCTGATTGACGCACAGCTGATTGTCAGAACTTTTTAAAAACTTTGTTTTAGTATTTTTTTACTACCAGTTTACCCAAACCAATAGTAAAAAAAAAATGCTTAAAAAAGTAAAAAAAAATTCTGCCAATCAGCTGTGCTGCGCAATTTCTTGTAAATATAAATCGCACAACACAGCTGATTGTTGCATAGCTGACTACTGGTTCGGGTGAACCTGTAGCATTTTTTTACTACCGGTTCAGGTGAACTGGCCCGAACCGGTAGCATTTCACCCCTGGCTCACATCCTTCTGGGGTCCCCAGGCCTGTTGGCAAAACCAGGTATTCAGGGCCTTGCGAAAGTGTCAAAGTCAAATACAGTCTTTGGTTTAATGCATTCGTGTCAGAGATTGGGAAACTGCATTTCTGCACCCAAGGCACTGGGAGATCTTTATTACTGCAGTGGGAACAATATCGTCCTGCATTCAGAATTTCTCCAGAAAAGGTGAAATTAGACCTTTGGTGCTGCAATTGCTCAGCCCAGATAATTCCGGGAGTTGAAGTCGACACATCCCAGCATTCCCACAGTTGAAGAACACCGGCATAAGTGAAGAACACAAGGTGTAGCCTCTCTTTGCATTGGGTGCGTTCGGCTCATGAAAGCTGTTTGCCTTTTCATAAAATTGGTTACTCAGATAAGGGGTGAGCAGCCGTTACAAGAATCTAATCACGCTTTTATCTTGTCCAATTTCTTTTTCAGGTGCACAATGTCTCCCTTTCTTTTGAGCTGATGCAAGATGCGGGGCTCAAGAAACCCAAAGCGCGACCGGAAGGTACTGCCTGAAGACCTGGAACGGATGTTCTCAGGAAATAAACTTAGCACCCTCCGTGTCTGGCTAGAAGAGATGAGCAATTGCTTCTTGCAAATGAGAGCGCTATTAAACTAATTCTGCCAGCCCAAAATGCCGCTAGGAATTTTAAACCCTAAGCATTACATGTAAAGTAAAGCTGTGCTATAGGACAGTTCTCAGACTCCACTAACCATAAAACTTCACCACCAATGAAGCTATTAAATAAAACCCTAAAACGATGGCTAATTTTTTTGTCGTCGCAGGCCATAATGCAATGCATGCCCCGCGTGCCCCCAGTGTGTACCCCGCCCCTGTGCATGTGCACACAACCCCCCAAGTGCACATGCAAACCCCACACATGCGCCCGCCCCCTGTGCATGCATGTGCACCCACTGTGCATGCATGCATGACAATCTGTGCATGTCTCCAGGATGCGCCCCATGCATGGCAGAGACCCCAAAACAAGCTGGCTGGCGGGAGGCATGCGTGCATGCGCAATGGAGCTGAGCTGGGGCAACAGCTCAGATGCCCGCAGAGAAGGCTCTGCGTGCCACCTGTGGCATGTGTGCCATAGGTTCACCATCATGGCCCTAAAACATCAAGGTTGTCCAACCTTAACCTTGAAATTGAAATTTAATAAATTTGTATGCCGCCCAATCCCGTAGGACTCTGGGCGGCTTACAGAGACAAGATAAAAAAGTTAAAAATTAGGAATAAAAAGATACAGTTTTTAAAAATAACACACCACCCATTCTGTCTAGGTGGGGCTGGCCATTGATCAACAGCCCCAGGCCTGCCGGAACAGCCAGGTTTTAGTGGCTTTTCGGAAGGCCGAGAGAGTGGAAAGGGTCCGGATC